GGTTCACTATCGGCCTTTACATCCTCATTTGCCCTACTGTTTGCCATTGGTGAACTGGAAGTCTGTCCTTGTGTCTTGCTTAAGTGTTTTCTCATTTTAATTTTTGTTGTTGGACTGTCCTTGGTTTAATCTCTGGATTATCACCCAAATCTTCCTGATACAGTTGCACCCTAGCTTCTGTGTCTAATGACCCACAGACATTCTCATCTTCATAACACCAGAGAAAACAGCTCATCAAATCAACGGCAATGCTTTACCCCCAACTGATACAATCAGCAACACATTAAGATCAAGCACAGCTTGGACACTGACCACCTGTGGTAGTCACTAGTCTATCACCCTTAAATCATTTGAATTAAATTGAAATCAAGAAGCAGTCCAGAACATGTCTGCAGTGAACAAACTTTTCAATATAGTATATTTGCCATTTAATGGCTCAGACAGAGGGAGGATGCAAGACCCCTGATCTCAGCTTATTGCTGAACCCCATGATGCTGACTGACCTCGGGCTGCAAGGCCCAGATTGATTTCCCCATCCTTCTGAATGGTTGAACTCCCCAACGTTCTATTACAGGTTTCCCATGCCCTTTCTTTAAAGATGTTCAAAGTTGGGAACTCAGAAAAATACTCTTGATGACCACCTCTGTCTTGGCAGGGTGAGTCCAAAGACTTGCACAGTCAGGAGGTCTGAGAGTGCGGGGGGGGGCTTATGGGGGTTCAGGGGCGCCCGCGCGGCTACCTTCCTGGCGCTTGAGCGATGGATGCTGGGTCGGGAGCAGGCGTGGTTCTCCTTGATTTTGTTTTTGATCATAGCTACTTGGATTCCTGTATGCCTCACTTATCTGTATGTCAAATTCTTCCCCTCTGTTTGGGAAGTTCTCTGTCAATAACTTTGTTCTTTTTCAAAGTTGTTTTAGTAAATTCTTTGTTCTTTGGATTTCTCTATGAATATTTTTAAAACTAATTTTATTGGTACATTTAATGTATACAATATAATGATATTCATTGTTGGAAATTTGTACCTTTACATAATCAATCTTGGTTCTTATTTTTTCCCCATTTTTTGCGGGGGCGGGAGGGAGACCAGGGACCAAACTTGGCTCCTTGCTCTTGCAAGGGAGGAAGCAGAATCACTGAGCTAACTCCTCAGCCCTTCTCTATAAATATTAAAATCAGCTTATCAATACTAAAAAATTCTGATATTTTAATTATAGTTTAGTTGAATCTATAGATTAATTTTGGAAAACTGATATCTTAATACTAATTTCTCAAACATGGTATGTCTCTTTTATTTGGGTCCCCTTTAGTTTTTGTTTGTTTTTTAGTATCAGGGATCAAACTTCGGACCTTGTACTTGCAAGGCAGGCAGCAGAACCACTGAGCTAAATCCTTGGTCCCTCCTTTGATTTCTATCATCAGTGTTTTACCTGCAATGTAAAATTCTCTTCTTGGTCTGATTCTACCTAAGAATTTTATGGTTTTTGATGCTAGTGAAAATGTTATTAAATTTTATTTTAGTTTCTAATTGTTTATTGCTATAATATAGCAATACACTTGATCTTTTTGCATGTGGATGTTATATCCTATAATGTTGTTAAACTGATTTGTTCATTTTAGTAACTTTTTCTGTAGAATCAATTGGATTTTATACATGTATAATTATGGAATCTCTGAATAAATATTGTTTCATTTCATCATTTACAACATAGACATCTTTTATTCATTGTTCCTGACTTATTACACTGGCTGGAACACACCTGTATGATGTTGAATAAAAGGGATAAGTGTAGACATCTTGTCTTGTTCCTGATTTGGGGAGGAAAGGATTCATCTATCACCAGTAAGTAGGATGTTACTTGTAGACCCACCCACCCAGTTGCCCACTCTCTCAAGAATCCAGAGACTGGACACTGACCTACATCCCCAAACCTTTACATTTCTTTTTGAAATTTTAAGACAGGGTCCAGCAAAGTCTCTTAGTTGCCCAGGAAGCCTGGGCTCAAACTTTTGATTCCCCTATCTCAGTTCAGTGCTAGGATTATAGGAATGCACCACTAAGCCCAGCTTCTTTTTGTTTTCTTTTGGATCAGTAAAGGGCTTTTTGTTTTGTTTTTTTGAGACACAGTCTCGCTAAGTTGCCCAAGGCATGTGCCACTGTGCTCAGCTCAGTTAAGTTTTTAAATAATTTCATTTTATCTTCTTTGTTAACTTTATTAGCTGTATTAGTTTATTGTGGCTATTTCAACCTACTGTCACAAACTTTGAGGCTTAAAGACAAAATTTATTCTCTTATAGTTCCAGAGGCCAAAAATCCAAAATGGAAGTCACTGAGCTGAAATGAAGGAATCAGCAGATCACACTTCCAAACAAATACAAAAGTAAATTTCAATCTTAAAGGTATTATTCAAATTTAGTAAAATATTACATGTATGAACTAAACTTTGCACTTGCCAGACAAAAATATTACATTCTGTTTCACTGCTGTATGTTCTTTAAAAATAGGGGCTAAAAATACAACATAAAATTTCTATCTTAATCATGTCTTAGTGTACAGTAGCGTTAAATTTGTTGGTGCTATCGTCACTCCAGGCTGCAACAGCTTGCTTGAGGGCTATTTGACTCGATAACTGGAAACCCTTTGAGGGCTGCATGGTCTTTGCTGCACATTGCCACAGGATACTAAGGACACAGTAGATATACAGTGTCTAGATAGATATGTCTCTTGAATTTATACTCATTTATAATTAGCCACATTTTTCCCTCCAGGAATGCAAGATGTTGATATGAGAGAGAGAGAGAGACAGACAGAGAGAGAGAGAGAGAGAGAGAGAGAGAGACAGTCAACATGAATAAAGCAGCAGGTGGTGAACAAAGTAGGGACCTTACGATGTAATGGGGAAAAGAAGACATTCAGACAAATCTGTTATCTTCGGAGATTCGGATTGTAGAACGGATAGAATAATAGATGGTATTACAATGTTGTAAGGGTTTTCATAAACTGCTTAACACGGTGCAAGACATAGGAAGTGCTGAGCAAATAGTAGCTGCTATTATTAATATCGATTTAAGAATTATTACATATTTAAAAAGTGAAACTGAACGCGCTTATGTGTCTGGGCCAAGCCAACAACCTCACTTGCTGCTTGCTCTGACCAGCTCAGGAATAAACTCCAGAAGCCCCGCCCCTTCCCATCGCGTCCGGTCGTCCTGGCAACATGCAGGCGGATAGCCCCTTGACTGAAGAACCAGGAGCTGCTGGACGCAATCTGCCCTGGCTAGGATCGCTTGAGCAGAAAAATGACTGACGAGGACTCTGACAGTGTATACACAGATTCCCAGACAGGAGAGGAGAGGGAGCTGCCTGTTATCCAGTTGTGCGGGCTGGTGGAGGAACTCAGGTATCTGCCTGCTGGCTTCCGTGGCAGCGTTGCTCACCATGAACCCTCCGCCTGACCGGCTGTGTACCTTGAGTCCAGCCTGGAGGCTATCCAAGACCACACTGAACAATGGAGAGACCTAAGTCGGGGTTACCTCTGTATGTCTGCTGTCACTGAGCTAACAAACGGTTGATGGGGTTGAGACAGGGTTGAGGGGGCGGGGAGGGAGGGGGCAGAGCCGGAGGTGGAGAGCCCAGAGGGTAACTGGTGAAGCTGGAGCTTTAGCCTGGAGTGTGCCTGGTGTCTGACTGTGTGCCTAGTGGCTTCCCTGTTCTACCCCAGGTGACCTCTATGGTCCTTTCCAATGCTAAGATTTTACAATAAAATTAATATGGCACCAGGATAGACAAACTATTGAGATTATTTTACTGTGAGGCAGCCAGGGGCTTGAAGCAGGATGTAAGCCTGCAGATGGACAGTAAAAAATGCCCAGCCAGGATTCATTTTTTGCAGTCTGCTTTATATCTACTGTAGCAGGTAGACTGAATATTGAGATTGCATGATGTAGCACAGGTTAATTGTAGTTGTACAACTGACTGGTTTTTGCACAGTTTCCTAGCTCTGGCAGCTAAATTGTTACTTCTTTATATCTATAGTGTAGGCCAGAATTGAGGGATTATTATAAAAGCTGCCATTTTGATTTTTTGTTCTGTGTCAAGCATTTTGTATGTATGACCTTATATGATATAACAAACCTAGGAGTCACACAAAGGTAAGTCCCTTAAATTCACTCAGCTAATAAATGCTCATACTAGGACTCAGACTCAGAAGCAACTCCAGAGGCTACATTGAGAATATAATATATGCTGAAAAGCAGGACACTGTGTGTGTGATACTGGGGATTGAATTTGAGGCCTTTGCACTGAGCTACACCCTCACCCCTTTTTTGAGATGGGGGTCTCACTAAATTGACCAGGGTGGGATTAAACCTGCAATCCTCCTGCCTTAGCCTCCCAGATTGCTAGAATTACAAGTGTGCACAGTCATACCTAGCTTGCAAGACACTTTTATATTTCTTTTTTCCAGCCAGCCTTCCTTATTAATCTTAAAATTAAGCCAAACAAGAATTACCACAAAATATATGAAAATATCAAAGCCATTCTTTCTCATATATACATGTACACACACATATATGTATATATGGATGTGTATACTATGCACATGTAAGTTCTATATATGAGATATTAAGAAGTTAAAAAGGTCATAATCTTGGCTTAGACAGGATGGACTATATTTGTTATTCCTGCTTGTTTAAAAATGACTGTTCAAAGTTTTCCATGGTTTATGATAAACTTCCAGGGGATTCTTTCATTTATTGGTTGTTGGAAACAAACAAGCTAAGAAATATAAGCCAAAGGAAACATCTGAAGATGGTGGGTGTGCCTAACTTCAAGAAAGTAGTAACTTAGAAGCAATTTTACAAATAAGTTAGATGATACTTGAAGATGAAACCAGTAAGAGCAATTTTTAATTTAATACATGTTCTGAATTTTGAGGTTCTTTAAACATAGTAAAGATATTAAAGTCTTAAATAGCATGTACTTTATGGCCAAGAGCTGTCCTAAAGTCTTTGCATTCCTTGTTGAAACCCTAAAAGGTAGGTGCTGTTTTTTTATTCCCATTTAACAGGTAAAGAAAATAAGACACCAAGAAGCTATCATCAGTCTTGCAGAAGGTCACACATGGGCCAATAAATGTTAAGGAGTAATTATTTGGGGGTGTAAAATTCTATTAGTAGAACTTATTTAGATTCCTTCTGTCTTGCAGCTACGGAAACTCTGGTCTCAAAAGAGAGACCGAGATGTTTGAAAAATACTATGCTAAACTGGAAAGCAGGGATCACCAATCTTTACGGATATCAGATGCTAAAGTATCAGTAGCAGAATTCGCACAGGTATACAATGAATTGGGAGACTCAACTGTTTACAAGACCTGCCCAGACACACAAAGGAGTACAGTGGCTATTGTGTGGGGCCTCATCTTAAAAGGCGTATTTGTGTTGGGTCAAACCTACTTTGAAGCCCACATATTTCCTGCATCATCCATTGGTGCCTTTGCTTTAAATCCTAAAATATCTAAGACTTTTGTTTATTTTCTGTTTTATTAAGCATTGTGCCTTGAGAGGAACCACTGAACTCTGGGCTTTCCCTGACCTTGGCTGAATGCTGATCTACAATGGGCTCACGGTGTTTCTACCATCAAGTTATTTTCCTTTATTTGTTTTTATTTCAGTCAAACATAGGCTTTTGAGGCATTTAGTGTAGGGCCTTAGGATTTAAGAAATAAATGTTATCTCGGGCTTGATATCCAGCATCATTTCACCATGAGTTTGTTCTCCTGGCTTTATTCAGGGCAATGTCTAACATGCATGCGAGAGGGATCATTTTGATACCCACCTTGGGCTGCTTAATTACCAAGTTGTCCTTGACAATGGCTTTGTCTTTCTTGGGTTGCAGTTAAGAGGCCGGCGTAAGTCCAAGTTCCGCCCAGGTACAGACCGTATAATAGGCCTCACTGTGGACCAGAAACTCGAGCTTGTAAAAAAAGAGCTGGAGGACACAAAGGATGAAATAAGGCACGTGAGGGCTAATGCTGAACGGGACCTGCAGTACCATGAGGTATCCACATGCCCTACTTCCACTTTATCGAGAAGTTCCTGTGATGTGTCCATGCTATTGTTGGTACTTTTTTGTTTTTTTTTGGTACCAGGGATCCAACTCCAGTCCTTGCGCTTGCAAGGCATGCAATGGAACCACTGAGCTAAATCCCTGGCCCCAATTGTTGGTACTTTAGAAGAAACACAAGCAGGATAAGACAACTTGTGGACCTCCCTTTACAGAACTTAGTGCTTGCTTGAGAAGGCAACAAATTTTAAACTTAAAAAACAAATTTTAATTTTTATTAGTACATGGTTGTAGTATGTGATGATTACTTTCATTGTGGAGAACTGGCACACGTACGTAACATATCTCAATTCTTTTTTTCCCCTTCTCTTCCACCCCTCTGCATTTTTTTTGTCAGTATCCATTTATCAGATTCATTTATTTATCTTATAAATCCTTATAAAGTTAATTGTCATACATAGAAATTAATAGCCAGACTAACAGGCTGAAAAACCATATAAAACATGTAGGACAATTACACAAAATCAAGGCAAACTTCTAGATACTTTGTCCATGCTGGATTACAATAACTTCTTTTTCTCTTTTCTCCTATTGTCTGTCTTTTGCACTTTCTATATTGAGTTTCTCAAAAAAGAGAAACCATAAGATATTTAAGCTTATGTGTCTGACTTTACTTAACATTATGATTTCAAGGTACATTCATTTTCTTACATATGACTCAAGTTTACCCTTCTTTATATATAAATACTGTATTTTCTTTATCCACGCATCCGTTGATGGACATATAGGCTGCTTCCAAGCTTTAGCTATTATGAATTGTGCTGGTATAAACATGAATATGCATATATCGTTGTGGTATGATGTCTTTAACTCTTTGGAAGATACCTAGAAGGGCAATTTCTATAGTTTTTTGAGGGATCGCCATAGTTTACACTCCCATCAATAATGAAGAAGGGTTCCTGTCCCCTCAGCAGCCTCTGCAGCATTTGTTATCGATTTCTTGTTGATAGCCATTCTTTCTGGAGTGAGATGGAATCTCAATGTTGTTTTAATTTGTATTTCTTTTTTTGGTACTGGGGGTCAAACTTGGGACCTTGTGCTTGCGAGGCAGATGGCAGAACCACTGAGCTAAATCCCTGGACCTTAATTTGTATTTCTTGAATGGCAAGCTATGTTGATCGTTTTTTCATATATTTATTGGCTGTTTGTATTTCTTCATTTGAGAAGTGTCTATTAATTTCTTATGCTCATTTTTTTTGGATCTTTAAATTTGTTTTTTTTTAGTTCTTTATATATTCTAATAATTAGTCCTTTGAGGAGTAGCTGGCAAAATTTTTTTCCTAACTCTGTAGGTTGTATCTTTATTCTGTTCCTTAATTGTGAAGAAGCTTCTTAATTCATGTGATCCTATTTGTTGATTCTTGGTATTATTTCTTGTGCAACTGGGGTTCTGTTCAGAAAGTCTTTGCCTCCACCTTTGTCTTCGGTTTTACTTATTTTGCCTTCCAGTAGATTAAGTGTTTTTGTTTCGACATTTAGATCTTTGATCCATTTTGATTTTAGTTTAGTACATGGTGACAGATATGAGTCTAGGTTCAATCTTTTGCAGTTTTCTCAGCCTCACTTGTTACAAAGGCTACCTTTCCTCTGGCAAAAGTTTTTGGGCCCTTTGTCAAAGTTAAACAGCACCTGGCTAGGCAGATCTCCTCGGAGGATATGTCCTTGAAATGTTTCAGAAACTATCTTTCTTTATATCCTGCCTCTCCTAGGCGATCATTGAAGAAGCTGAAATTCGAAGGGCTGAAGTTCAGAAAGCAGTGTATGAGTTTGAAAAAGATATTCTAAAAACCATATCCAAGAAGAAAGGGAGTATCTTGGCTACTCAGAAGGTGATGAAGTATATTGAAGACATGAACCACCGGAGGGTGAGTCGGCAGGTGGTTAGAGCTCCAAAAGGAACACTGGAGTCACATAGTGACAACACAGAAATGACCCATGTGAGGCAGCCTTGCTCCGTCTGGTCTACCATCAGTGTTGCCCATATATTTGCATCTCCAAAAATGTGTGTATGTATGTCTTTTATTTTGTACGTGCATGTTTAAAATTCATGCTTACCAAGCCTAAAATCATTTAGGCTGGGTGAATATGAGTAGCACCTCAGATCAATTTCCTCTTTTTCATTGTTGTTATTTGTTTCAAGACTTAATTTTCTTGAAAAGGGTGCAATGTAGAGCTATGCAAGTGATTGCATGGAGCAGGACAGGTAATTCTCAAGCTCTCTGCATTTCCTTATTATAAGGAGAAGGACCTCATGATGGCATGGGAAAGGAAGGAGAATTAGAAGGGAATATGGCTTCATTTCCAGAGACTTGATAGAATGTCAAGATTTGGGTCCTGAGGGCAATTAAGTAGGGTGGTAACCTTAACATACTGAGTAATAAAAACTCCATAAACCATCAGGAGAATAAAAGACCAAAGAATCATGAGATAATTTTGTCAGGAAAGTCCCCTACAGGCGCACTCTACCCAAATAATCTTGAATTTAAAAGCAATGTAAAATGTGCATGGGGCACACCCAGTTTCCTCTGCATCTAAAGTATGAGTGAAGTGAATGCCGCTGCATCAGCTTGGGCCGGAATAAAAGGGTCGGAAAACAAACAACTGAATGTTAGGCCCAAGGGTTGCTTTGAAGCCCCAGATCTGTTTTTCAAACCAACTGGGAAAAATAAATCGATTAACATATGCCTCTATTTTTTAGGATAATATGAAGGATAAATTACGTTTAAAAAATGTTTCTCTCAAAGTTCAGAGGAAAAAAATGCTTTTACAATTGAGACAGGTATGTGGTCTTCCCTCTCCACTTCCCTGCCTCCCTTCCTTCCTTCCTTTGGCTGAATAATAGTGCCTCCCTCTAAGATGTCCCTGTCCCAATCTTTGAAATCTGTAAATAAGTTATTTTACATGATAAGTGATTAACTTACGGACCCTGAGATGAGAAGATGATCTTGGATTACCTGTCTAGGCCTGTGTGAGTGCCGTCCTTATCAGAGTGAGGGAGAAGGGTAAGAGAAGAAATGATAAAGGAAGCAGAGATCAGAGCGGTGAGGTTTATAACAGAGGAAGGGGCCAAGAGCCAGGGAATGCAGGCAGCCTCTGGAATTTCAAAATAGCAAGGAAACATTCTCCCCTAGAACCTCTGGAAGAAAAGCAGCCCAACCAACATCCTGATTTTAGCTCTTAAAACCATCTCAGACTTCTGACTTCCAGAACTATAAAATAATTTATTGGCATTATTTTCAGCTATTAGGTTTGTGGTAATTTGTTATAGCAACCATCAGAAAGTCGCACCATTATCATGCAGTGGCTTCCTGCAGATAGGGTTGGTTTGGGTTTAAAAGACAAGTGATATACTCAGCCTTTAGGGGAGCCTTACTGGGGTGGCACAGTTGTACTGTGGTTTGGTGACTCTTTGAGCAGCTGACATAGGGACTCCTGGGTAAAGGCAGTAAGGCAGATATGGCTCAAGGCCTCCAGAGTGATAGGTTGCTCCATCATTTTCCTGCTCAATGTTTTTATCATTAATTCAAACATGGGCACTGATGACATGTGTATCAGAGGTGGCCACAAACAGTGACACAGTATCAGGCAGGAGATTTAACATGTCTGGGGAATCTTGCTTGGTTGATTTGGGATCCAGAAAGATCTCAGCAAACTGAGACAACTTTAACAACAGGACTAAGGACAAATGTTAGATCCTCCACTTCAAACCCCCCCCCGCCCAGTCATCTGTACAAGCACAGATTGACACAGCCACAGAGTACCTGATAAAGTTAGCTCAGCCAGAGGCAGTGCTGTGTGGCCCTAGTAGCTTTCTAAAAACACAGTGCCCAGATCAAGGAAGGGCTGGCTTTGCCCTACTCTGTCCTGAGGAACCCCAACCTGTAGCTTTGTGTCCCAGTGTGAGAGGCATAATAAAGAATAAGTTCTAGAAGAAAAGTAGAGTTTGGGTGGGATGAAGGGTGATGTTAAGGAAGAATGGAAACCACATCGAAGGCCTAGGTAGAGAGGGCCCAGGAGGGCCACTGTCTCCAGCTACTCGAAGCTGCAGTGGGAAGAGCAAATACGCCAATGGGGAGGGCACTGAGGGCCCTGGAGCCAGAGGTGACAGGGAAGGAATTTTGCCCCAGTAGCGCTGCCTGCAGGTGGTGAGTTCCTGGTCCCCAGGAGTTCATGTGAGCTCAGGCATCTTGAAGAGGGCCTGACTCTTGAAATGGGGAGAAGATGGATGACGTTCAGCCTGCATGCTGTGGCTACACAGAGATAACTCAGATCTGGGCCCTGGCTTCTTAAGACTAGGGGGAAGTGGGGTCAGGAGAGAGTAACAAGGGCCACAGAGCTAAGCTGCTGGAGGCTCAATGAAGAGAGATGTGGAAAACAGATTGGAAACACTGGTGCTAGAGGGATAGATTGATTTGGGTTTAAAGTATGTGTGTCTTTGGAGGAAAGGAGAAGCAGAGCACAACTGCAGCAGTCCCTAAGATGGGCTACTATGACTATAAAGGTAAGATGGCATGGGCCTGGTGGGTCGGGGAGGTGGGGCTAGGTCAGGGATGGAACCCCATAAACTAGGACACTTACCCTGCAGAAATGTTATAGAATCAAAGGAGGGAAACTCACTGGCTGCTTTTTCTGGGTTTCCAGATTTAAAAAATGACTTGTAAATGGCCTGATTCCCACTCTTCCTTCACAGCCTTGTTTAAGCACCCCTACTCCTGGAACGCCTCCCCTGGCCTGGCCAAAGGGCTTCTGTGTTCCCCTCCCCATATCCCTGCAACCACCCTGTTGAGATACCATCGACTCAGTGTCTTCAACCCACCCAAGGACCCTCATGCGTTTACTCAAATCTGGCACCACACCTGGTTCCTAGCAGGTGCCCAGTACATGTTTGTTAAATGACTGGATGATGACTTAGTCTCACCAGGTTGTAAGATGTATGCTCTTCATTTGGAAGCTACCCCTGAACATACCATTTTTTCTTCTGAGCCGTAGAAGGAAGAGGTAGGAGAGGCCCTCCACGAAGTTGATTTTCAGCAGCTGAACATCGAGAACGCTCAGTTCTTAGAGATGATTGAAGCAAAGAATCAAGAGCTGATTCAGCTGAAGCTGGCATCTGGCAACACCCTGCAGGTCCTCAGCACCTACAAAGTAAGGCCCACCGTGTCTGGCGCCCCCACCAGGCTTCCTGAACCATCCTCCCCAGCCTCAGGGACATTCCCGTGAACACTGCGGTTTCATCCAGCGCTTTGGTGTCCCTCCCTGCCCCCTGATTTGTCTTGACAAAACCATGTCTCCTAAAATTTTCCAAGTGCTCCCACCACTCTGGCCACACCTGAGAACCACTTGAGGCGCTTTTTCTCTTTGAAAAATACACCTATGCCCAACTCTCGCCCCCACTAATTGAATTAGAGAGTGAGGGGCGAGAATCTTGTCGTGTTTTAATTCTCCAGGTGATTTTTATGCAGTGTTTTTGAAATCTGACCACGTTTAGGGACCTGGTTAATTTAGGAATATATTAACAACTTCCCTACTTAAAAGACTGGAAAGAAAAAGTCTTACCTATAAACCAGAAAGCTAGTAAATTATTTATCATCCAAATGCGATGCTTTTGAGAGAGAAAAGAAGCACTGTTAATAATTAAGCAGGAACTGTGAGCATGAATAAGGCCTGTCCCCAGCAGACTAGACCTCCCTGGTGACCCTCTAGCAACCACCTAATCCAGCAGTCAGCAAACTGTGTATTGAACTAGGGAGTGCTGAGCTACATTCCTCACCCTTTTTAATTTTATTTTGAGACAGGGTCTTACTGAGTTGCCCAGGCTGGGCTTAAATTTGTGATCCTCCTGCCTTGGTCTCCTGAGTAGCTAGGATTCCAGCTCAGTTATAATTTTAATGTCATCAATAAAACATTTGTGGGAATTTGTTTTTTTCTCTCTTGTTAATATTAGGTAACTACATAATAGCCACAATTTTGCCTCTGGGTCTGCAAAACCTAAAATATTTAATATCTGGCTTTTTATAAAAAAATTTTTTTCTGACTCCTGGACCAGTGCCCAGGTGGCAGTGGTCAGTGGGCCTAGGGAGCTCACGTGGGGTCATTTGACCCACACGGTATCATTTAAAGCTGTCAATGTGACTATGTCAGACAGCCTTGTGTTTCACATTTTTCTTTTTACAAATGGAAAACCAAAACTGAAAGACGCAGAGTACTATATTTGCCATTCAAGCTCCGCATAAGTGACAAAGCTAGGACTCCCAGCCCAGAGTGTGTCCCACCCAACAGCCTTCCCCTGGCAGAGAGTATGTAGAAAACACTGTGCTAGCTTTCTGATATTTATGTGTCATAATTGTCCAACAGATCACCTACTTTTAGCTTATCTCATCTGTACTTATATTATCTGATCACTCTTATTGCAAGATGAAGCCAGTCCTCAGGACTCCCAGGCCCTGGCTGTGGTGAGGTCACATTGGGACTTGATCTTATCCTGTGAATCAATTAAGTAGCACAGGGCTTGTCTGGTCTTGCGGGGTTTGGGGAGTGGAGGAGCTACTGGTTTATAAAATGAAACTTCCAGGTTGCAGGCCTGAGCTCTGTAGGATGGGTCTGAATTCACAGTGCTGATTGGTTGCAGTACTGGGGTGACAGTGACACAGGCTGCAGAGGGCCAAGTAGGAGCTATTCTAGTTGGAATCCAGGTGGCCATTGTGGCTATAGGCCGCTGCATGTGACAGTAAGCAGATGGTGGAACTAAGGGGACATGCCCCACCGGATCTGAAGAGGACACGCATGATGGGGTGAGAGAGTGGCTGGAGCTCTTCCTCACCCCAGGTCTCAGAATACTAGTGACTTGTGGATTTGGACCTCACCTGGGTCTAAATAGTGCTCTGCTGGGGGAGGTGCTTCATTTAGCCTAGATGTTTCACCTGTAGGAGGCAAGTTTTTGTGTCTCACTGCAGCATGGAGTTTTGTCTGGTCTGGGCTGTGTCCCCAGCCCTGAGGACAGGATATGGCCAGAGCTGGTGCTCAGCCAACATTGTGCAACAAACACAGTTCAGATGTGTGTTTGGTTGGGGTGGGAGAGTGACAGGAGGGGCCACTGTGGTACAAATATCATGCACCCAAAGGTGAGACCTTATTAAAAACATACAGAATAATTTCCTCTGTTAGAAAAAGCACCAATTGGGCTGGGGGATTTTAGCTCAGCGGTTCGGTGGCCTGCCTTGCAAGTGCAAGGACCCGAGTTCAATCCCCAGTACCAAAAAAAAAAAAAGCATCAATACTTGAGTATGCCAGGCACAGCACAAAATGCTAAGGGCACAGTACTTACTCAGCACAAGACAGGCATGGCCACTTCTGTGCATTTTCTGAGTCAAAGAGGGACCTTTTTCCTCTGACATTATGCCCTCAAGCCTGTCTAGTGTCATCTGATAGAGTGAAATGATGTGACTACAGCTTCAGTGAATCACTCTGGACTACCTAAATTAGTGATTAGGGCCCTGCAGAAGGTAGTATTCTAAGTTGTCCCCAGACTCCTGTCCTTGATGCATATAATCTGGTCAGGGCTGTGCATGTGATGGCTTCAGTCACTTTCTGTCTGTTGCGTGATCAGATCACATTAGATGGGCCTGACCTAATCTCATGAGCCTGTTGAAAGCAGTTTCTCTGGAAACTGGAAGAGGAAGTCAGAGATGTGAAGCACAAAGGGAATTTTAGGGGCCTGAAGTTCTCAGTGACTCCTTGAAGATAAAGGAGGTCACATGGAAAGGACTGAGAGTAGCCTCTAAAAGCTGAGAGCCACCTCCTGCTGACAGAAAGAAAACAGGGACCTCAGGGCTACAACTTCAAGAAAATGTAGTGTGCCAACAAGGAATGGATTTGGAGAGGACCCTGAACCTCAGTTAAGAACCACAGTCCCTGCTAACACTTTGAGCTCAGTCCAGCGGGATCATGGGCAGAGAATCTGGTGCAGCCACACTGCCCCAGACTTCTGACCCATAGAAAGTTCTGTTGCTCTGAGCCACAACGTCTGTGGTCCTTTGGAACCCTGCAGTGGAAACATGTATGCCTTTTCAGCAGTAGTCAAGGGACTGATGTTTCAAGGGATCGTCACATGCTTAGCTCACACCAGGACTTTGTGAAGACCTTGCCCCAGCAGAGCCAACAGTCTGTCACCTTTCTGTGGCCCTACATTCCATTCTCTCCTTCCCTGTGTCTTCCCTCTGTTTTCAGCCCTCCCACCTGAATGGCTGGTGGCAGCAGAGTCCTGCCGTGTTCTGCCCCGCAGCTACCCCCTCATCTGGGTGCAGGACAAGGATCAGGAAACTAGCCTTATAGGTGGAGGGTAGAAGAAAGAGTGGGGACTGGCCCTAGGGAATTAAGATCCCCCAGACAGGTGGCTCCAGGCTTTCCTTCTGTGTCTAAGTTTTGACACCCCAGACTCCCTCAGCCTCTCTGCTCACTCCTTTTAGATCTCCCTCAGGCTCTTTCCTTTGGTTGAGATATTCCTCTCTTCCTTCCTCTTGGAACCACACTTGATTCACCCTTTCAGCTCTCTTCCCCATATTCCTTCACAGGACAACCTTCCCTGACCCCTGTCCTGGCATCCAGACAGCTTGGCAAGCTGCAATTTCACCAGTCTTCTCACAGTGATCTGACTGCTTGCCACTTCTGCCTGGGCTGTGAGCAGCTTCCTGAAGGCAGAGGCTATGCTGTTTCACTAACCAGTGCCTGGTGCAGGGTGGGTGAGTTCTTAGGGTGAGTGAGCCCCCTCAAATCATTGTCCTTTCCCTAGGCTTAGTCCTCAGCCAAGCAGAGCATTTCCCAACTTCTCTGGTTTATTCCTTGCTGAGGGAGAATGATTCAAATCTTAAGAAGAAGGCACCTGGGGAAGCTGGTATAGGACAGATTATGAAAGGAGAATCTGCAAGGCAGTTTCTTCTCCACCCCCACCCCCAGCACAAGTAGGCATGGCCTCCTGAGGCAATTGGAACAGTGGAGGAGCCCATAAGCTATGGAGTCACCCTTGCTGAGTTCAAGTCCTAGCTCCTCTTTCTCTGGGAACTTGAGCAAATTGCTTCACCTCCCAAAAAGCCAGTCCCCTGTTATGGAGTGTTTCTTCCTCACTATCCTGGAGAGGTAGTTTGTCAAATGTCCTCCCTATGCCAGGCACTGTGCTCAGCTTTCTACCAAGATGTGTTCCCTGTAAGCCCCCCATAAGGTGACCAGACCAAGTTTCAAGAGGTCTGGGACTTGCTCAAAGTTTCCCTTAGTAAGAAGTGGGCAGGATGCGGGTCTATCAGATAGATCTGACCACTCTGCTTCTCTGGCTGGGGACAAGATCCGAAGATCCTCTACCACTGTTTCTCAGAGACAAGGATTCTGAAAACCTAGGCACCTGTGGGATGGGCAGACCCAGGTCCCCCAGTGTTCTTGTTTTCTCTGTCTACACCTCCTGTCGTTCTGCAAGGTCTTTGTAGCTCAAGATTTGCTGTGTTGATGTGTTTCAGAACAAGCTTCACCAAGCGATGGAAATGTACAACAATTTGGATAAAGAGATCTTGCTGAGAAATGAGCTGCTTGAAAAAATTCAAAGAGAAACCCTACAAGTAGAGGAGGTAGGAGAGGGAAAATAGGACATTCGTCTCCTTCTGTCTGCAAGGGCTTGAGTCAGGGTCCTCTGAGATCCATGCCATATCGTGAAGCCTACACCACAAAAATCAAAATAGCTCTGAACCATCGAAGCAGAAGATAGATGTGCCGCCTAGTCACGTAGCATTTACTTTGGAGTGAAGCTGTAGAGCCAGCTCACAAATTAAAACTTTTATGGGATCCAAGTAACACCCAAGAATTCTTTAAGTGACCAATAAAGTATATATTCAAAGTTCAGTTTCAACAAAATGTATATTTTGTGTGATCACATAACTAATATGAGAGAAACTATGCATGCTAAAATACACTTTACACAAAGGAGAGAGAGTGTTTACTATTTAAAGATGTAACTATCCGTTGGTACAGTGGATGCATACAGCATGAGCAGCCTATCGCAGAGACCAATTAAGGGATAGTGGACCCTCTGTCCCTCTGTCACTCACTCCAGAGCCTGTGGTCAGCATGAAAAGGTAGCAGAGTCAGCAGAGGTCCATACACATCCACCTTGCAAGTTATTTTGCTGAGCATATGTAGCTGAATGCACAATGTTTTACTTTTTCTGAAAACTTGAGATAAAGTTTAACATAATTTATGATCTGACCCAGAGAGGATCTTTTCAGGAGGACAGAGGAGAAAGCACTGGGCTCAAAGTAAAAAAGCCTGGCCTCATTTTGATGCTGCCAGATTCCAGCCTTGAATGAGCCTTTTAGTAAGATCAGGCTATCCCACAGGTGTGAAATAGAGGGCACAGCCTTTGTGGGGTGATTCAGTGGGTCCACCCATAAGGACGTTTTGTCAACTTCTGAAGCTATTAGTACAATTATTAGTGCTATTATCTTGAATAGATCTGAAGCAGCCCCATCAGTATGTATGGCCCCAAAGCTCATGTGACAGCCAGGAGGCCACAGGATCACTCCATGTGACTCAGTCTTGTCATGTCATCCATATCATATCTTTTTTTTTTTTTTTCAGTACTGGGGATTGAATACAGGGTTTCTGCACTAAGCTACATCCCAACGCTTTTTGTATCTTTGTTTTGCGAGAAGGTCTCAATTAGTTGTTAAATTGCCCAGACTGGGCTTGAATTTATAATCCTTCTGCCTCAACCTCACAGAGTACTGGGATGACAAGTGTGTGCCACCACTCCTGGCTGCATATCATGTCCTTAATGGAAAATAACGTCCATCTACAAAAAAATCCAGCCTCAGTACAGGGTGGCAGGTGAAGGAGAAGCCTGTGCTTTCTCTCTATGCAGGATTGTACTTGTTTCTCCCTGTTGATTGGTAGTGATTAGATTCCAAGTAAAACTCAAAACTGCCTTTTCAAGCATGGTATCACTGCTTAGTACATTTCACTTTTCTTGTTCAGGCGTGGGTACGTGTGTGTGTGTGTGTGTGTGTGTGTGTGTGTGTGTGTGCAAGTGCTGGGGACCCAGGGCAAGTGCTCTACCACCAAGGCACATCCCAGCCCTTGTCTTCTTTAGCTTGGAATAATATTTTCAATATTACTACATGGTAGCATGTCAGTACTTAATTTCTTTTTATGGCTGCATAATATTCAGTGTATGGACAGAGCATGTTTTATTTATCCATTCTTCAGTTGATGGACGTATGAGTTTCTACTTTCTGGCTCTTATGAATAATGCACATATGAATATTCTTATACAAATTTTTGTGTGGATGTGTGTTTTCTTTTCTCTTGGACGTACATACCATAGTACTATGATTTATGTATGGTAATTCTATGTTTAACATTTTGAGAAACTACCAAAATATTTTTGCAACATGGCTGTACCACTTTACATTCTCATCAATAATATAAAAAGGTTCAATTTCTGTATGTTTGTCAAAACTTGGGTTTTTTTAATGGCTGTCCAGATTTGTATGAAGTAGTGTCTTGATGCCTATTAACACTGAGCATTTTTCATGTGCTCACTGGTCACTGGCCTCCCTTTTTTTAAGAGAGAGAAATATCTACCTAAGTCCTTTGTTTAGTTTATTTATTTATTTATTTTTTGGTACCAGATTGAACTCTAAAAAGGTTCAATTTCTGTATGTTTGTCAAAACTTGGGTTTTTTTAATGGCTGTCCAGATTTGTATGAAGTAGTGTCTTGATGCCTATTAACACTGAGCATTTTTCATGTGCTCACTGGTCACTGGCCTCCCTTTTTTTAAGAGAGAGAAATATCTACCTAAGTCCTTTGTTTAGTTTATTTATTTATTTATTTTTTGGTACCAGGGATTGAACTCAGGTCCTTGCGCTTGCAAGGCAGGCCACCAAACCGCTGAGCTAAATCCCCGGCCCTCCTTTGCTTAGTTTTTAATTAGCTATTTGTCTTTTTGTAAGTTTGAATTGTAAGAATTTCTTATATATTTAAATGAATTTTTTTATCAGATATAAGATTTGCAAATATTTTCTACCATTCTTTGGATTGTCTTTTATTTTTTTGATGGTATTGTTTGCAACATAAAACTTTTTAAATTTTGGTGAAGTTCAGTTTATTTTTCTCTTTTGCACTTGTGCTTTGGTGACAAAAGTGCTAAGAAACTTTGCTTGATCCAATGTTGTGAAGATTTTGCCCTGTGTCTTCTTTAGAGACTTACATAGTTTTAGCTTCTAGATTTAGGTTTACAGTCCATTTTGAGGTAACTTTTTAAAGGGTGTGAGAAAGGAATTCAAAAGCTGAAAGAAGAAAGATGAAGTTTGATCATAGAGTATAATGTGTGTGTACATATTTTTCATTGTTGTTGTTGTTGTTTTTTGTTGCTGTTGTGTTTTTTTTGTACTGAGGATCGAACTTGGGACCTTGCACTTACTACCCAGGTGGCAGAACCACTGAGCTAAACCCCTGGTCCTAGATTAACCTTCTTTTTCTTTGCCATTTGTGGTTTTCTCCATTTCTTCCCATATGTTTGAGTTATCATCTCATGCTAGTTTCTTTTTTCTTTCTTTTTTATGCTAATTTCTTACTAAAATACAGCTGGTTTCAACATGCCCCCTTTGTGCTGTCACTGTCAAATACATTAACTATGTTACGCGTCCCCAGATACTCATATCCATGTTCTCTGCACTCCCCACCCCAGTACTGAGGATTTAACCAAAGGCCTTTGTACTGAACTACATCCCTAGCCCTTTTTAATTTTTTGAGACAGGGTCTTGCTAAATGACTAAGTTGCCCAAGGTGGCCTCAAACTTGCAGTCTTTCTGCCTCAGCCTCCCAAAGTGCTGGGATTACTTGCATGTTCCACTATGCCTGGCTATACTTGATTTTTAAATCAGTTGAGAGAAGAAATATGCAATTATACTGCTTTTCATACTTACCAACATAATTATCTTTGTTTTTAAAATATGGATTCTGAGTTACTGCCTGGTATCACTTGTTTTGAACATAAAGAACTTTCTTTAGTATTTCTTATAAGGCAGGTTTGCTAGCAATAAGTTCTCTAGGTTTTTGTTTCTCTGGGAATGTCTTTGTTACTTCTCCAAAAAAGAACTTTTTTGGGCTGGGGATTTGGCTCAGTGGTTCCACCGCCTGCCTCACAAGCACAAGGGCCAAGTTTGATCCCCTGTACCAAAAAAAAAAAAAATAGGACTTCTTTATTTTAGACGTTTTAGGTTTACAAAAAAATTGTGAAGCTAGAACAAATGATTCCCTTATACCCAATATTTAGTTTCACCTATTTTAATATTTTGTTAGTAAAATATGTATAATTAATGAACCAATGCTTATTTATTATTATCCACTAAAGCCTCTGCTTTATTCATCTCAGTTTTTTACCTCACATCCTTTGACTATCTTTTTGTAGCGTTGTTTCTCCTTAAGCTCTACCACCTTTCTGGCACTACAAGATGCTTTAGACTCATCTTGGCTGATCACTGCTCCAATTCAAGAAACAGCCATTTTTCCAGAGTCCTGATTCCTTTTATTGGCTAATGGAATTAGGAAAGATCTCTGTGTACTCCTTGTTTTTTGTTATTTTTGAAAAATCATTTTTCAAGACATAAGATTCCTGGTGACATTTTTTTTCTTTTACCTCTTAGAATATGTCACCCCCATTCCCTTCTGGACTCCATTGTTTTTTTGTTTTTTGTTTTTTGTTTTTTTATGAGAAGCTAGATGTTAATCTTATTGCTTTTTGATTATTTTTTTAAAATTAAAACAAATGTGATAAATTATTTTCCTTTGCTTTCTTCAATATTTTCTCTTTGTCTTGTCATGAAACATTTTGAGTGTGATATGCCCAGGGCTAGATTTATTTGCATTTATCTTACTTGGAGTTTGTTGAATTCTGTGTGTGTGTATAGCTATTTTTTAAAAAATAAAATTTAGGCAGTTCTTGGTTTTTTGAGTCCCCGAATATTTTTTTCTTTTCCTCTTTCTCTTCTGTTACCTCCATTATATGTATGTTAGTACACTCAGTGGTATTCCACATTTCTCTGAGTCTCGGTTCTTTGTTCTTTTTTTTTTAATCTCTTTTCTTCATATTTTATAATCTCTGTCAGTCTATCTTCACTGTCAGTTCATTCTGTCTCCTCATAGTTTAAATCTACTGTTGATTTCCATTTAATAAAATTTTCTTTATCATATTGAGAAAGATCCTAGATTTTCAATTTGGTTGTCTTCATTCTAGTTTTTGTTGATATTCTCTAGTTGATGAGACATTATCATGCATTCCTTTGAGTCTTTAGAGTCTGAAAAATGTTGAGTCTTTACATAACTTCCTTGAAGACTATCTGCTGAGTCCACCATCTGGACTGTCCAAAGACAGTTTATTTTTCCTGTGTGTATTATACTTTCCTCTTTCTTTGCATATCTTGTAAGTTTTGTTGAAAGTTGTACATTTTAGATAATATATAGTGACTCTGGAAAATCACCTACCCCTTACTGGGCTTGTCATTATTCAGTGAGTTGGGGGGACTAGGTCATTACAGTCTGCCTTCCCTGCTGCTAGTATCTCTGATGTTGATCCTCAGAGAGTGCAGCGTTAGTCATGGACATGGTCTACCCAGTAACCAGGGGTGGTTACTGTTTCAGGTGAGTTCTCCTTAATAACTGGTCTGCATTTTTAACCAGCTATCAGGTGATACAGTTGTACTTTGTGAAGCAAGAAATTAAAAGGCAATACTTGGTGAGGGAGATTCAACATCATTAAAATGTTAGTTCTCTTTAAGTGGACTTGTAAAATAATGGTATTCTAGTGAAGATACCAACAGAGTTTAGGAGCTGAATAAACTGATTCAAAAATTTCTTTGGAGGGCTGGGTATTTCGCTTAGTGGTACTGCAACTGTCTCACAAACAGAAGGCCCTGAGTTTGATCCCCTGTATCCCTCCACCCAAATTTTTTTTGGAGAAATAAGTAAATGTCCACAAAATTGCTAATATGTAAATTAGAGGAGTAGATCTTTCAGAGACTGGGTGTGTTATGAGTTACATTATTTAAAGCATGTTCATTAATAGACTGAAAGCTCAAAGAAAAATATATAAGGTCCTATAGTTAGCCCAATATAGATCATATATGATATGTATGTGGTCAAGTGTCTGATGAAGTTTTGGTATCGACATCTTTATGATAAAGGTGTCATTGCATTAAGCAAAGGACAGCTTGATATTTGAATAAATGATTAGGTGTAACAGTAGTGATTAATGAAAAAATAAAATTGGAACTATATCTTATACTGACATTTATATCAGAGATTTAAATGTAAGTGATAAATATAAGTGATGTCCTGAAAAATAATGGGAAGATTTTATTATAATGTTGGAATGAAGAAGCCTTTCAAAATATAAAACTAGAAAGCATGAAATCAATAGTCAGTTATGTAAACATGAAGAATTTTCTGCAAAGCAAAAACTATAAGCAAAGGTAAAAGACAAATAACAAAGTTAAAAGCAAAAACTGTAAGCAAAGTTAAAAGAAAAATACGTCTAACACCACGAGGAACTACTGTGTGTATGTGGGGGGAGATGCTGGGATTGAACCTAGGGCCTCAGAAATGCTAGGCAAGTGCCTACCACTGAACTACATCCACAGCCTTTACATTTTTTTTTTTTTTTAATTTTGAGACAGGTTCTTGCTAAATTGCCTAGGTTGGCCTTCAACTTTTGCTCCTCTTCTTTTTTTGGTACTGAGGATTAAACTCGAGCCCTTACACTTGCAAGGCAGGCAGCGGAACCACTGAGCCAAATCCCCAGCCTAACTTTTGCCCCTGCCTCCCAAGTAGCTAGAGTTACAGTGTGGACCACCACATCCAATCACAAGGAACTAATTATCTTTTTTAAAGTTTACAAATTAACAAGCAAATGAACATAGAGAAAAAATGGCTTTAAACAATATTCAGGAAAACTAAACACTCCCAAATGTATAAAAAATATTCTCCCTCATCTTTAATGTGAAGGATACAAAATGAAGCTATAATGGGATATTATTTTCTCTCTAACAAAGCTTAAAGTTGATAAGAATGTGATGAGTGAATAGGGGAAAACAGTCTCAAACATTGCTGTGAAAATTAATTTATTTGATTATTACGGAGGGCAATTTAGCATTAATTAGCAAACATGAACATACACATATGCTTAGGGCAAGGTTTCTCAACTGAGGCACTACTGACATTTTGGGTGGGATAATCCTTTCTTTTGGAGGGGCTATCTTGTACAGTAGAGGGGGTTTAATAGCATCCCTGGCTCTACCAAATGCTAGAAGTATCCTCCTAGCTGTGACAAATATGTCTTCAGACATTGCCAAATGTCCTCTGGGGGAATAAAATCACCTCTGGTGAGAACCACTAAGAAAAGGTGATTTCATTGGTCCTACTGATAAACTTGCATATTTGCAATGTGACTATACACAGAAGATTAGTAATTACAGCATTATTTGTTACACTAGCAAGAGATGGAAAAGTTAAGTGACTCTTCATAGAGGACTTCTTAAATTATGATACACACCCATGGAAAAATTAGGCAGCTGTCAAAACTAATGCATAAATCATGTATTGATACAGAGGAAGCTTCAAGATTTGCATGAAAAAAGCTAGATAATAAAAGTGAAATTCATCTGATGCACTCTGAGTAACATCTTGGATGTTCTTTCCAGATCATGATACACAGTATAGTAACCAGTTATTCTCTGATTTTTTTGTTATGAAATTTTAAATTTTTTAGAAGATTATTTTTGTATTTTGTTAATATTGACTTGGATTAAAATTTTTAAAAAGAGAAACATGTTTTATTGACATGAATCTCTGGAAGGGTACACAAAAGATAAAAGTAGTATATGCTTCTGGGAAGGGGACTTCCATGAGTGGGGGTGCCAGGTGGTAATGAGAGCTTGTCACCGTGAACTTTATACACTTCAAATAGAGAATCCCAAGGTGAGATTGCATCTTGACTCAGTGTTGCAAGTCTTTCATGCCCTCAACATTTTCATTTAGGATTTTGCTTTTTGGACTAAAAATACAGATGCTTGGACCTTTTTTCTTTGTTTTGTGGTTTTGGCAATTGGACTCAAGGCCTTTGCACCAAGCCACATTCCAAACCTCCTTTTTTAAAACAATTTTTAAAGAATTTTTTGCAGGTCTCACTAAGATACTAAAAAAACTCACAATCCTCCGGCCTCAATGTCGCAGTGTTCTGGGATTATGCATGCACTACCACACTGGCCTGAACATGTTATTTTTCAAATGTATTGCCTACACAAAATAACTGGTAAAATAAAAGTTAAAAGCATAATGCTAATTTTAAAAAATCTACTCAAAAAGGCTAATAAATTTTGCTGTGATAATTTAAAAAATAAACATTAAAAAGAGAGATTCATCACAAAATTGAGTTACCATAAGGTTCCAGTAATTCTTTTGGGTAATGACCAAAAGAATTAAAAGAAGAGACCTGAATAGATTTTTTTGTATGCCCATATTTATAGCAGGATTATTCACAGTAGCCAAGAGATGAAAGAAACCCAGTGTTCATCATGGATAAATAATGAACAAAATGTCGTATGTACACACATATGCCTTAAAAGGGAATGCATGATTCACCATAGATAAACCTTAAGGACATTATTCTAAGTGAAATAAGCCAGTCACGAAAGTATGGTATGATTTCACTTACATAAGATATCTACAATAGTCAGTTCATAGAGTCAGAAAGAATGGTGGTAACCAGGAGCTTTGGGGAGGAGAAAATAGGGAGTTTCAGAGTGGTGGTGATGATTGCACAACAATGTGAATTTGCTAGTGAACTGTATGCATAGAGTAGCAAATTTTGTTATATGTATTTTATAACGGGAAAGTGAACTGAGGCTGATGAAATAAAAATATACTGAAACACAATTTTTCACACACAAAAAAACTTGAGAAATCAAACTAAGTATACTCCTTTTAAAAGGAGAGAAAGGATGAAAAGAATAAGAAATGGATAGGAAGAGAGAGAAAGAGAAGGGAGATAAGGGAAGGGAAAGACTGGTATTCTGAACTAGATTAAAGCATCACAATCTGTTTTTTAAAAGAATCTTGTGATTTCCCTACCGTCCTCAAATTTAACCATTATTTTTAGAATTACATTGATACTGTAGGGAAAAAAATAGTAGGGCCAGCAGGTCCTCAAAACAGGAGCCATTAAGGTTCCCTGGGGTAATCTTTCCTTTCCAACCCAGGACCGGGCCAAAGCAGAGGCTTTGAACAAGAAGCTTCGGAAGCAGATGGCCGAGTTCCGGGTGCCGCCAGTGATGGTTTATGTCCGGGAGAAGATATTGAATGGGGACCTGGAGAAGACCATCAAGATGTGGGAGAGGAAAGTGGAGATTGCAGAGGTGAGTTCCAGAGACCCCGTGATGGAACCAAGTCGTGCTGACTCAACCTTGTCAATAGCATTGGCCAGTCTTCTATGCCATCAACTTTTTTGTTCAGAATTTTGCTTTTTGGCTAATATTACAGAGATGTCTGGACATGGTATGTCTGTGAGAAATTTTAGCAATTGCTTTAACTATAAAACCAAAATGAAGGATGGTTTTTTAAAACTTTCCTTGTTAGGGACAAAGTCTTTTGAGGTACCAGAAAGAGACTCTAGTAATACTGTGTTTTTAGTTGCTTGTTCATGAATTCTAGAAACTTCTGAATCTTTCCATACCATAGATAATTTAGTGGTTGCTACTGCATACATGAAAAAGTCAGCTTTTTAAATAAGAAAATAATGGATTTTAAATATCACTTAGAATCTATATCCAAGTGTTTGCATAGTTGCTGTGGGTCTTTGAGTTTTTAATGAATCAAATTCCGCAGCCTTTGAGAATGGGGGCTGGACATGGAGAACATCCTGGTTCCTTGTGAGCTGCAGAAGAGAAATGGGCAGCATGAAAACAACATGATTGTTTTAGAAATAAGGGGTACATCAAGGCTGCCACAGTCAGGTTGCAAACTGAGGTCCATAAAAGACATCATAGTGTATCTTAAAATCCAGTTAGAAGCTGGATGCAATGGCATCTGCCTGTAATCCCAGCTACTTGGGAGGCTGATATAGGAGGGCGGCGAGTTCAAGGCCTGCCTGGGTGACTTAGTGACTTATAGTGAGGCTCTCTCTCAAGATAAAATAATAAAGTGAGCGAGCTTGTGCCTAACGTGTGAAGCCCCAGGTTCGATTCTCATATTTCAACATCAACAATGACAACAACAACAACAGCAACAGCAACAACAAAAACCCAGTCAGACTGCTTGGGAAATGGGCTTGGTATTTCACACCTGTGTCCTGGCTCCATTTTCCATATTATTTTCTCCCTTTGCTGTGGTCACTTGGTGGCAGGGAGTAAATTAAGAGTCAAACATACGTTAATCTGGAACTGAGAAGTGGAGAATTGCAGGAAACCCCTGCACTTTTTTTTCTTTTCTGAACGGAAATGCATTCTTTAGAAGAGCTTCCCTGACAGGTTTGCCCCTGGTGGCCTCTGCTTAGCAAGTGCAGGTTAGGGCCCTATTTCCCACAGTCACTTGTACCATCAGCAGGGCTGGGCGAAGGTTGCATTTGGAATGGACACACTAAGTGGCCTTTCTTCCCTTGCCCTCCTTCATTTTTGCAGATGTCCTTAAAAGGCTACCGCAAGGCTTGGAATAGAATGAAAACAACCAATGAGCAGTTGCAGGCAGATTTCACTCCTGGGAAATAACCAGGGATTGACCACAGCTTGCAGACAAGAAGCGATCCATTAAATCATTCAACTCTTTTTAATCACGGGGTTCTCTCACTGTTCCCTGTGTTGGCTGATGCCCCTCCACTCCCCAGCCGTGCTGATTGTCATCTTCCTGGCCACATTTGATGCCAGGGAGGTCCTCACAGACTGGCCTGGATCCATTAACACCAATGAAAGAACCACAGGGCACTCTAATGGTTTGACAGTTGTTCCCCACATTTAGTTCACAAGCACAAAGGAAAGTGACTTTTTCACATGTGGGGGTGGGACAGGGAAGGGAGAGCCAGACCAGTGCATGCTATGGGTCTATCCGTGGCAGCCCAGGCACGCAGCTGTCAAAACCAGACACCACAACAGCATAGTGAATGCCTGACACTCAGCATTCTGAGCTTCCTCTTTCATTTGGTGGGTTCCCTCCTAGATCTACACACTGTTGCCAAAGAAAACAAGCATGAAGGAAACCAAGATGATTTCTTGGGGCTGCACCCTGTCTTGATCTGCAAAAGGCATCTTCCCAACATCCCCACCATAGTAGTCATAGTACATGGGTTGAACAGTCAGCTTTGCAGAACTGTCTGGTTTCTGTAGACCCTTTACCCTGAGGTCTGGACCACCTCTAGAGCTAGAGCTGTTTGTACCCTGTAAATGCACAGTGGAATTTCTTTGTCCTTGGAAGTAGGATTGGGGCCATCTAACAGGGCCCTGTTCAGAATATGCTTTCTGTGTCACGACAGCAGGTAATCTGTGGTGGGAGAAATGGATCAACTTCTCCCAGTGGCGGAGCGAAGACAGGGGAGGGCCGGCCCTCCTGGCCATGGATGTGATCCAGTCACTGTAGTCTTCCACCTTAGTGTACAGAAACAGACCAGGGCATTTCTCACCACCGTGGGTCAGAATTCCTCTCAGGACCCACAGATCCAAATGCTGCAGCTGGCACATCATGGGGCTGCCTGGCTCCCCCTGTGACAAAGGACAGAAGATTTCAAGCCTTGGAAAAGAACTTGTTTTCTTTCTTAATAGATCCTTGTGCAATTTATCACTTGTTCTCAAAATGTCTTATACTGTTTCTCCTCGGAAATAGGGTAAATTATAGCATACTATTTCAAATCTAGACAACTACGACTACAAATCCAATGTGGTAACTTTTAGTTTTATTATACAAATTGTTTGTGGGAGCCTGAAGATTGCCTATAGCTTTCTTGCTTCATATTTCATTTTCTTGCCTCTTTCTAGTACATTGACAAGAATCATCCCTGTCTTTTGACTTCTTATCTCTCGAAGGTTGGTATTTCTTTTCTTCCTGGCTTGAAATACTTCAATTTCTCCCTTTCCTCTCTATCTTGCTTCCATTCCTCCATCTAAGCTGCTCCCTCCCTCCTGCAGTCCCAGAGGGTTGGCTGGGGAGCTGCGCAGAGCCAGAGTTCCCAGGAGCACACACTGGGCAGGGGTTTTCTCTGAGTTTGAACACCAGTGGGGCCTGAAAAATTGTCTGTGGGTTCTACGCACTGTTGTGAGACAGTAGGACAGCCATATCTGTACAGCAGGGTTTCGTACAGAAGAAAACCCCAGTATCTGATAAGCAGTAGCATCAGAGGGTTCCAGGCACAGCAACTCCACACTGCAGACCTGCTTGGCATATATTTGCATATAGAATTTGGACTCACATTTTCACCTTTTTAGCTTACGAAAGAACATTTTGTACCAGAATTGTGGCACACAACTGTAATCCCAGCACTCTGGGAAGCTGAGGCAAGGGGACTGCAAGTTGAAACCCAGCCTGGGTGATTCAGCAAGACCCCACCTCAAAATAAAAGTAAAAAATGAGCATTGCATGCATATCATAGTGTATAGGCCCTAAGTTCAATCTTCTATACCATCAATCAATCAATCATCAGTAATTTAGATATGCTTAATCAGATGAGATCAGGCATATTCAGCTGTTATGGCCCTAGACTAGATATGCTTAATCATATCACAGAGAAAATGGTAACTGGTTAGTCCAGTTTGTACTGAGCAAATTTGTATGGAGCACTTGCTATGTACCAAGTGCTATTTCCCTCAGAGACATCTATGAATCCCATATTATAGACCCTGCCATCATGTGGTCTAAGATCCCTTTGACATAACCAATGCTCAGTCTCAGGATTTAGCTTCTACTTTATCATGTTCTTACCAAGCAGACAGCATCAGTTTCCCGCTCTGTGTGACTGCCACATCCTGTTTTCTGGGGTTTGTGTAGGGGACACAGGTGAAAGTCTTTCACGGAGATTCTCCTCAGGATACTCATTGTCATGTGATTTCCTGTCTGGACCATGCAACAGAGAGCCCAAGAATTATTAACAAGAAGGCAGCCCCGTAAGTCAATGCAACTGCAACTCATATATCCAAATGGAGGTAGAAAAATGTTCTTGTAAATTTCTTTTCTTCATAGAAATCAAAGCCTGTGTCTGAGTTTATGTTGAAAACTAGTTTGGCTTGGAATTTAGATGTATAAACAGGAAGAGAACATTGCACCCTTCCTCCACATCTAAAGAATATGCATGTCCTTGTTTCTTTCCAGAGAATGACAGAAAACAGGGATGATTTAGAATAGAGGACAACCAGCTCTAGTTCACCTAATATACATTCCAGGCAATCTGTTGCCTGTGTACTTCAGTTTGGGGACAGGGATAGAAGACAAAGAACCAGTGTAATGTACTGTAGGGAAGGCTTCAGAAAGGACAAGGATAGGGAATCTCCACTGATTATGGAAAGTTCTGGCCCAACCCTAGAACCTCGAGCAACCTGAATTGTTAGAATAAGCCCTAGCACAGTTCATCCAAGTCACCCCCACCGCCAGCACACACACAGCCTCCTCTAGGAGAAGGATTGCATTAACTGCAGACGTGGGATTCCATCCTGACACCCAGCAGTTCTTCAAGGCTGGGAGCATAGGCTGCTCTTTCCCCAGGAAGCAGATGGGCTGGACCAGATCATCAAAATGCATCGCCGAGTCTGTCCTCAGGAGGGCTACGTTATTGTTCATGGAATGGTTATCAAAGTCCTCGTGGATGATGATGGTGCGGACAGGGTACTCTATGAAAGCATTCTTTCTGGGATCCATGTTAGCTATACCAACCACAACGATAGCATCCTTCCTGGAGAGAGAGACAGCAGAGGAATCTTGAGAAACCAAAGAGCAAGAATGCTTCAAAAGCCCCTGCGTTTCTATTTACCATGTTTTCAACCTGGAATGTTTACCCTGCTCATTTTCCCTGGGTCAATTTTTACTCACTCTTTTGGACTTGGTCTCTGGGAAAACTTTTCTGAACCTCTAGCCTTGTGCCCTCCCTTACAAGCCTGTAGGAACTTGGAGATGCTTCTGTCTTAACACCATTTGTCATTCCTATTAAAGATAATCTGTTAACATGTTTCTGCTTGTTAACTTTTTTCTACAGTTTTTTAAAACATAGTTTTACTTATACCAAATATGTAACCGTGACTTCTGCTCTTAGCACTTAACATTTTAATACATATATCTTTTCAAATGATATACTCTTGTACATACACTTTGGAGAAGTTCTGGTTTTAATAATGATGGATTTAAGATAGATGTTCACCATTTCTTCTCTTGGAAATCACCCAAGGAACTATGAGGATAAGAAGCAAATGCTGGGCTGGGGATTTAGCTCAGTGATACTGTGCCTGCCTCGCAAGCACAAGGTCCTTGAAGTGGGGCGGGGGGGAGAAGAAGAAGAAAATGCAAACACCATAAAACCAAGAGTCACTAGAAAATCCAAAGCTTAGCATCAGAGGAAGGGCTGGCAAAAGCAGGGAAAGACAGCAGGAGTTTTCAGTTATAGATGACAGAGCCACAGAGCTCAGAAAAAGCTGGTCAAGATTGTTCTCAACAAAGAAGTGAAAAGAAAACCACTTTCATCACCAAAATGAAGACCAAGTTGGAGGCAACATAAAGGAGAAGAGCCACGAAAAATACAAATGGGGCCAGTGGTTCCGCTGCCTGCCTCACAAGTGCATGGGCCTGAGTTTGATCCCTGGTACCAAAAAAAGAAAAAGAAAATACAAATAGGGATGCAGAAAGTAGACTGAGAAAAGTGACCAAAATGAAATGGAAATTAACAACGATGTTTAAAGGCTAGAACAAACTGGCAGTCAGCTCTAGGGCAGAATCAGCAAGGCAGAGGCGCACGGCAGAGGAAAGCTGCTGACATCTGGCAGGCAGTCAGGAAGCAGAGAGTGAAAGGAGGAGCTGGAGTGGGAGCTCCAGGTCAGGCCCGCAGTGACCTTCCTCTTCCAACAAGGCTCCACCTCCTAGCAGTGCATTTAGGTATGGAGCCCCCACGATTCAGTCATCTTTCAAAAGCTAAGCACATGAGGCTTGGGGAAGGTGGGGTCTAGATCTAACTATAACAAAGAGCCAGAAGACCATGATGAAGGTAATCAACGTAATGAAACAGCAAAGATAATTCAAGATACAATTTAAGGAAGTTTTCCAGAAATAAGTTTTTACTCTACAATTTGGAAGGATATTTTATAACGGGGAAAATAATACAGAATAATCCTACTGAGACATATCCTGGTCAGGTCCCCATAGGAAACAGATGGCATACTCAAAGTAAATTGAGAAGAGTTCATTAACGAACTCTTTATAAAGGTTTTGGTAGGACATAAGGAAACCATGTAGGTTGAAGTCAACAGGGTGCTGATGCTACCTGTGGGCAGTGGGAAGAAGAAGACAATCTGTAGGACCGTCAGTGGAGTAAAGACCCTGACCTTACTCCTCCCCTCCTTCTGATCTCGGTCAGCGCTTCTATTGGCCAAACCCAACTGGAACCTATAAGCAAGAGAACCGCACAAGCCAGGCTTCTGGGTCTAGTGGGGGGAGGGGGAGTAGAGCATGGATCTGGAGGGACAGATGGAAGAGAGGCAGGACAGTTAGTAAAGTTGCTAGAGCTGAGTAACAAAGAAAGAATCCTTGAGCATCCCGACCAGCAAAGTGAAACTATCCTAAGTTTGATTATATGATGTGAGAAAGGAAGTGCTAACAACAGGAAGTTAAGAGTAACAGGTATAAACCAGCTCTCCTGGGTACACACAGATGTGTGCTCACCCTACCTGTATAGAGAGAGTCAGAAAAACCTCAGACTTCTCCACAGCAAGATTTAATATCACAAGCTGCGGGGAGGGCATGGGAGGTGTCAGGTGGGGTGCTGCCTATAAAATCCTCAAAAGGAAATAAACTGTGAGCCAAAAATTTCATTCTTAAGTAGTCATTCAGGTTTAAGGACAGTACAACATTTTTTGGTTTGTTTGCTGGGTTGGTTTTTGAGACTGGTCTTGCTATGTCGTTCAGGTGGCCTTGAACTCACTATGTAGCCCAGGCTGGCCTTGAACTCATAGCAATCCTCCTTCCTCTGCCTCCCAAGTGCTGATATTACAGGGGTGGACCACCATGCCTGGTAGTATAACATTTTTGAATACCCAAAGACCAAAGAAATATGGTTCTGAGCGGCCCTTTAAGAAACTACTTGAAGACAAATTTTAATCAGATAGTATCCAATGAAGAAAATCTAGCAACAGGACAGTCAGGGAGGGTGAAGTGCATTATAATAACAGACTAAAATCTAAAGAAAAAGTTTTTGGAGTAAAACTATAAAATGTAAAAATGCAATAATCAAATATAACTGAAGTCGGATATTCAGATATAGGTATATAGACCAATTTTATCATTTTATAGGACCTAAACATATTACCTATGTACAGCTAATGTATAAAGTTCAGATGTCTTAGGTATGTACAGGAACTGAAGTGAGCACTAAATTACATATACAATCTGCTAAGATTGGGTGATGAAAGAATAGAGAAGTGAAAAGGTAGGAATCCTGACGCTGACCATAGCAGAGTCTACAAACAGTTGTCCAACTTGAGCCATTTGTAGGAAAAAAGGGTGTGTCTTGAGACCATAGTGTTAACAGACACACAAGCTTCAATACAGCATGATTCCCCTTATATATGAAATCCAAAATATAAATAAATTATAAGGCAAAAAGAAAAATAAGAGGAAGCAGGGAGATAGGTCTTCTGCAAAAGGGAAGGAGACTGAGCAAGGGAAGGAGTAGGAAGGGAGGGTAGGGAAAGGGAATGGAAAAAAGAGAATTAAGATATTATGTCCGTGCACCAGCTTCTCATGAGGGATGTGATGGTTGTGAACTACAAACGTGTACTAATAACATGAAACATTTAAAGAGATTGTCCAGAAAGGAACAGAGGCTTTTGGCGTCTCGTGTGACATTATAGCTTTAAGATGAAGACAAAATGAAAGTACAAATTCCTCAAATTCATCAGTGGATGCATCTAAAACAAAAGAAATATTCCATAGTGGAAATAAAAACAAGAAGCAATAAAAACAGAAACAAGAAGCGGGAGTCACATACTGAACACCAATTCGGAGCAGAAGATCACTGAGACAAGGAAGGTTCTTGATGACAAGGAGTTTAGGCTGTAGAGACCTCACAGGTGTAAATATCTGTATCAAGTGACAGCTCATGAAGAACAAACTACAGGAAATAGGGAAATAGGCAGAAGCTTCTTCCTGGTAGGAGATTTAAATTCACTTCTGTCAACAGTACAGATCAAGTAGAATCCTTCCTGCAACTTACATGTTAAGGTATATACCCAGCACAGAGAATTGACTTTTTAATTTGCCTGCAGAAAAGATTCTCATGGACCACATACAGTAGACATGGTAGGCTCAACAAACTCCTAAATAGATCACCAAGCAGTATAACTTGAAGTTAATAATGTTAGGGAAAAAATAAGCAAACAAATAACTCTAGCATCCACATATTTAAAAACTCTATCTTTGATAAAACTCTTAAGTCAAAGAGAAAATCAAAACCAAAATAGTAGGCTAGGTAGAATAACAAAAACACTGCACAGAAAGCAGAGCCTCAGTGCAGGGCCACTTGGTAATAGCTGTAAAGGTCATAAACACATCTTTTTTAGTCCTATCTTTCTACACCTAATTTGTTCATGCTATAATTGAATATATACTCATGTAAAATGACATATGTACAAATGTATTGCAGCATTTTTGGTTCTTTTAAAAGATTGGAATGACCCAAATTTCCATGATTACAGGAAAATAAATTATGGTTTATCCATGATGGGCTACTGTGCAGCTGACAAGAGACTCTCTGTGCATTGCTAAGATCTCCAAAATTTATGGGAAAATAAAAAAAATAAAGTGGGGATAATGTGTATGTTGCGCTACCAGAGTATTGGGGGATATTATGGAGCAAATTGTGCCCCCCCGACCAGATTCAAAAGTTGAAGCCCCGTCTGACAATGTAACTATATTTGGAAATGCAGACATTCTGCAGGTAATTAAGTAGCCCGCCTTGGTAACACACACTCTAGGAAGGTGGGAGAGGATCTCAGGTTTGAGCCCAGGGGGCAATTTAGCAACTTAGCAAGAACCTGTCTCAAAATTTAAAAATAGTAAAAACTAAATCCCCAGCAGTAACCAAAAAAAAAAAAAAAAGGTAATTAAGGTTAAAAAGGCATAGTTTTAATCCAACAGGAGTGGAGCCCTTATATGTGGAGGAAAATACATCAGAAGTGAGCATGCGCAGAGAAAAGGCCAGTCAGAGACATAGCTGTGGACATCTTCTGGTCTGGACTTCTGCCCTCTAAAATCACGAGAAATGCATTCTGTTATTTAAGCCAGTAGTCTATGATACTTTGTTATGGCATCCTGAGTTGACTAATACAAGAGGGAAAAAGAATTCTTTGTCAATAGATACAAGAATCAACATAACTAGACTTGTAGGTATATAAATATCCATAACTGCATTGAGTGTGTAAGGGAAAATATCCCTTACACGTGATGCCCATGATGGGCATGGCATAGAGGAGAGAAACTAGTAACTGAGGGACAGAGAGGGAGGAGCTGCTCCTCACTGTATACCTTTGGTTGTTCATCAGCATTTATCGCTGTACATGGATTTCCAAACTAAAAGATTGGGCAGCAGTACAATAAAGGGTTCATATTAAAATTTATTTGTCCAGTTACATTGTAGTCACTCCCTCCCTAATATAAGTACATATATGCACACTACTTACATACGTTATGTATGATATGGTATACATAAAGTTATACTCTAACCATGGTAACTGACATTAGGTTTCTCTCCTGTGTTTTGTGAGTAATTAACCATGCTGTCAACAACTTTGTGACCATAGAACATCCTGTTAAAACTTCTCTAATGGTTGAAACTATTTTCTTCATTTTGACACCTAAAAATGAAATCACTGGGTCAAAGTGAAATATTTACAAAAATATTTTAGACATGTCTACCAAAAAGGTTATTCCTTTAATAATATTTATTATTTTTTCCTGGTTTACAAAAATGCATATTTATTGTGAAGAATTTGGAGAACACAGAGAAGTTCTACAAAGAAAATAGAAATCTTGGGTGCTGCCAGGCATGATGGTGCACCCCTGTAATGCAGCACTCAGGAGGCTGAGGCAGGAGGATCACCATGAGTTTGAGGCCACCCTGGGCTACATAGCAAGACTTTGTCTCAAAAAACAAAACAAAACAAAGAAAAAAGAAAAAGAAATCTTGTGTGTGTCCAGAGATAAAAACTCTTCCAGCCTTCCTGTATTTCCTTAGTGTTTTGTCCATACATGTGTGTTTGTGGCAGCAGCCTTTGCAAGGCACTAGGTGAATGTGTAAGGCAAGGGCTCAACAGAATAAACAGTGGAGACCATCTAGTATTAAAGAATCTGTGAGGGCCAGGGATTTAGCTCAGTGGCACTGCACTTGCCTTGTAAGCGCAAGGTCTTGAGTTCGATTCCCAGTAACAACAACAACAAAAGAATCTGTGAGTGCCTCTGGATTGCAGTAAAACCAGAATGAGTATCCTTCATGTGTAGAATGGGAGAAGGGTCATTTCCCTTGCCAGTGTCGCCTCCCACAGTCCTCAGAGCAGAGGTGATTATAAGACCCCAAGGCAAGGGGAGAGCAGTCTTGCAGTTAGGAACTAATGAATTAGGGAACTCGTCTGGACCCTGAGGTGAGAGTACTGGCCTGTTCTGGAAGGCAGATGCAATGCTGAGGATCCAGAAGTGGCTGAGGATGCAGCCGAATGCCAGGTGTGTGTACTGTGAGTCCTGAACTGACACCACCCACGGGAACTCCATGGTGCTGACCAGGTTCTCCTCGGATTCGTCCACCAGCGAGGTTTTCTGGATGCCACAACCTGCAGAGGGGGCTCGGGTCTCACTGCAAGGAGCTGGTCCTTCGGGCTACCACCATCCACCAGCCCCCAGGACCCCTTTCCTGCTGGCTGTCTGCCTTGCTGGTCATTAACTCTACCATGCTGCTGCTTCTCTCAAACAAGGGGATCTTCCTCAGCGTATGAGGTTCTCAGTGGTACCCCCAGGGGACTGCATGCGTTGGGCTGTTGGTGACTGATTTTCAGCCATGACACACTCAACTTGCCAGGCTCTAGGCTAGAGACTGGGCTCATAGGGATGGATTTCAGAAGTCTGTCGCAGAGACATGCTGATGACTGATGGCCACACAGACAGAGCTGATGAAAGGGAATGTGCCCAGAGGACATAGAGGAGACATGAATTCTGCCCAAGGCTCAAAGTCTGGGAAGGCTTCCCCCTAGTGGTGACCTTTGATGTGAGCCCTAAAAGTAGTTTCCAAACCATGATACTATGGAGTCAGTTGTCAACCACAATAATATTATTAAAAGACCGCAGAGGATCTCTCCATTATGGGACATCATGTGACCAAACAACTCCATTAATGGACCCTTAGAGACTTTGCTGGACGGATGACAAAGCCAGTATTTGGCAAGATGATGTTGGTAAAGTCATGAAGTGCTTCAGAAACCAACAAAGACAGGATTCCTTATGTACAGTCTGACTGTTTTTCTTGGGACATTGGCAATCTATGGTGCAAGGTGCTAACCACTGTTTCCTAAACCTAAATGTGTGTGACGACTTTCAATTTTCATTCTGTAAAGCCCTAGTTGGCTTGTTCAATGGACCCTGCCAAATTCACAGAAAATCAGGAGATAGAAAATCTGACTCAAAGACAAAATGCTTGTCCTGAGTCACTTAGCTATGGCTTTCTAAGGGGAGAGAGGCCCTTTCTGTGCTTTCCCATCATTTTCTGTTCTCCTTGGGGTTACAAGGAGGCAGAGGAAGTGGAGGTGGCCACGAAGATAGTGAGTGTGTGTGTGTGTGTGTGTGTGTGTGTGTGTGTGTACATGTATTTCTCTTTAGTCTCCCATCTAATCCCAAGAAGGCAGAGCAGAACCAGCTGGGATGGCAGTGAGGTAGGACATGGCCTATGTTATTCTGCTGTCCCCTGTCCCCCCTACCTTTTCTAGGCTGAACTTTTTAATCCTTCTGAACAGCCTAGAGGTGAGGTGATGAGGGGGCCACAGTTGACACTTCTGCCACCTGAAGCAATGGGGGTCACAGTCTGAAGAGCAGCAGTGTAGTATGAAAGCAGGATGGGCTGAGGCAGGCCTCATGCTGACTCCTCACCCAGGGGCCTTTCCATAGCCAGAGGCTTTTCTCTACCACGCTTCTACCCTCAGAATTAGCCCTGGAGTCCACTTCAGCAGCCAGTGACCTACAGCCATGCTCCGTGGTTCACTACACTGCCTGGTTCCTGCCACCCAGAGCAAAGTGTTGTCATCATCTTCCCCTCAGTTCCTCTCCGGACACTAAGGACTACTTCATTTTCCTAAATGATTCCGCCTGCCAGGCCACATAAGGCTGCTTAGAATCACATGGAAGAAAGCTGTATACTCACTGGCAGAAGATTGAGACACGTACAGCAACACCAGCAGCATCCCTCTCATCTCTGCCATCCCCACACAGAACTGTTGTAGACACCATGGGCAGCTGGGGAGAGAGAAGGTCTAATGGCTCCATCATCTCCACCGACACACCGAGGCATTTCCTCTTTTCCCCAAAGAGGAGATTCCCACCCACCAGAAGGCCCTGTCTCTTCCATCCACCCATAAAGGTTCCAAGACCTAGGAAACCAACTTGTCACATCTCCAGCGCTTGCATCTATGCGGTAGAGCAGCAGGAACCAGACATCTGGCACCGATACTCAGCTAGAATTGGTAGGAAAACTGACAGAGTCAGGCAGCCTTTTTTCCAGTTTTCTTCTCAATATAACTCAGACCCCTGGATGACCCAGAGAGTTGGGTCTCAGAAAGGGGTTGATTTTTGATTTGTGGAATTCAACCTTTGCTTTAACTCTGTAGGCATAAAATGCTGCTGAAAGAAAAGGTATAGTTTTGGTGGAAGCTCACCCTGAACTTCATGTCTTCCTGTGATTTTACTCCCCCTATTAAACTCTGCTGACTTAAATAATTCTGGGATTATTTTTTCACAGGTAATAACCCCAGTACTTCTACACAGTAACAGCCCCGCATTTAGCTTAGATCATTCACACAACCACCCCAGGAGGTAGATGCCGTTACCATCCCCATTTTACAGACTCAGCACCCTGATGCTCAGACACTGAGTAACCACCAAGCCAAGGTCACAAAACTACCAAGTTGTAGACTTGGAATTTGAGTTCTTGTCTGAATCCAAAGCCCTTAGGTGCTTTGCCTCACACCATACCCCACACCAACACCCTTGCCTCCAACAAGCTATGCACGGTTCTAAGTCACCATGTTCCCCTCATGACACTGGATGGTTCTTGTCCTCAGGGTGGTTCCTCAGAGATCTGTGAACTCTCCAACTGAAGGAGAAATTAACTTGCTCTGACTTTACACAGCAGAGCTCCACAGAAGAGTTTCTTCTACCTCAGGAAGAATGATGTTCCGTTGTGACATCGTGGTTACCATGGCATCTCCAAGCAAAAGTCTGCACTTGGGAACTTAGGGGGAGCTGGAATGAAAAGGCTGTTGTTATGTACCCGGGGACAGGGGCCTATCCTGGAAGCCACAAGCTCCCCAGGTCTGGCTGAAAAGACTTCCGTTTTGCTAAATCATAGAATTCCCTCTGGTCATGACCACAATTGTCTGCTCCACTCAGCACCACCCATCGCCTACACAAGTTTGTCACACTGCTGGACTGAGGAAACCCACCATGAGGGTGGGTTTGGGATTTCCAGGGCCTGTCAGCATCTTATACTTTCTATAAGGTTTGGTTCAGTTTCTTTAGCACCCAACCCCCACCACCACCATCACCTCCTGCAGGTCCAGCTAACCTAAGCTCTCTCAAACTTTGGGTCAGCTGGGATCTGCTCTGCAACTACTTGAGCAACTTTGGCTTTACAACAAACGTTTGCCAGGACTCGAGGAAAGTATCCACCACATCATGGTAAGATACAGCTGTGTGGAGTCACAGGGGCCTCTTGGACACCTGGAGCATCAGAAGAGATTCACTGAACGGACAATGATGGCTGAAGGGAGGGAGGATGGCGGATAGGAAGTGCAGCCTGTGTCAGAAAGGGTCTTCTGTCTCCTATCTGCATGGTGCCCTGATGTCCTGTGTGCCTCATCATCCTTTATTACCCTTTCTTTTGGTACTGATTATTGGACTCAGGACCTTAACATTAAATTATATCCCCAGCCTGTTTCGTTTTAAAAATGTTGAGACATCTTGCTAAGTTGAGAGTTTGGGCTCAAACTTGCAATCATATTTCCTCAACCTCCCAGATTGCTGGCTACACAGCCAGTTCAAGGCTGGCCTGGTCTACACAGCAAGACTTTGTCTCAAAAACAAAACACAACAAATTGTTAATGCAAATAATAAAACTTATGGACTTCCTCAAATTAAGCCACTGTCAAATTTCAAGGATTAATGTTTTATCTTTTTATGCACTATTACCAGTGTTTCATGTAGGGTTTTTGGCAAGTATATTTATGAGTTAGACTAGTCTGCAAACTTCCTTCTTATACTCTTCTCAGTAATACTGGCCTCATGGAACTTGTTGGGAAGACAGAAATGACAGGTTCTCTGAAATTTTGCAGAACTCACTGGAAAACTCTCTGGACCTGGTATTTGCTTTGTGTGGAGATTTTTTTTTTACTATGACTTATTTTTTTTTAGTACCTCTAGGACTAGAAAGACTGTATCCTTACCTGTCCTTTCTCCCGAGCTTCTAAAAGAACTTTTGCTTTTGATATATCACAATTTCACTATGATAAGTTGAAGGTTGAATTTTTTATTTATTTTGTTTAATACATGCCATATTTTCTAGCATGGTGTATTTTATTTTCCTATAAGTTCTGGAATAATCACAGCCATTATCTTTTCAAATATTGCTTCTTCTTCTCTTCAGGCTCCTATTCTTCTGAGAGTACAAATAGATATGTTAGATTTTCTCATTTTATTCTCCCTCTCTCTCTCTCTCTCTCTCTCTCTTGAACCCAGAACCTTCACACTGCCCAGGCTGGGCTCAAATATGCAATCCTCCTGCTTCGGTCACCCAGAGTGTTGGGATGAGAGACATCCAGCTTATTCCTCAAATCTCTTATCATTTCTATCTTTTTACCACTCTGTGTTCTGGATGATTATTGTGATATACTTTCCAGTTTACTAATTCTCTCTTCATCAATGTCTAATTTTCTGTCCAACCACTCTCATAAGGTAGGTCAACAACCTTTTTTCCAAACTTCTACAAGATTCATTTTTACATCTCTATTTGCTTATGATTGTATTTTTGGGAAGAACGGTCTTCATTTCTTCAACCACTTCATATTTATTCTATATTTGGTACCAGAAAGTTCCAAGTTCTGCTCTTTGAGGTGTAAAAGAATTCTAAATCTATTTTTTGCTCTATCTGCTGTCATATAACGTGGCTTGCTTTCCCTCCAGCTTTCATCCTACCTGCTAGTCTTAGCTTGGGAGCATGAGGGGTCTAACAGGTGTAAGGATCTTTGAGAGATTTTGCTCCTCCCACTGCTGGTCACTAGAGGGCGGCATTAAGCAGGGCCTCTGGCTTGCTTTCCCATCCTCTTCACTGGTCAAATACTGAAGAGCACCTGCCTTCAGGAAACCATTTCTGTCCCAGCAGTCAGCAGCTCTGACATCAGCTCACTTCTCTTAGAATTCTCTCCTAAAGTTTGTGGGAGCAAAGATCAACCAAAGGTGTGTTTTCTGCACTTTTTTGTGTGAGGGGACTTCTCAGACCCCCTGGTCAGTGGTGAATTCAAAGCCAAAATGGACTGAGCTTTACGACAGACCAGGTATTAGAAGCCAGGCTGATGGCTTCCCAGTAGAGCAAACATTTACTTCCTATTTACACTTCTCGATTTGGTGCCACTATTGTTTGATTTTATTTACCCAGGTTTTTGGCTGCTTCCTTGAATTCATTGTATCTTGGATCCACTTATCCTAATACAAGTGACTCACACTTGAGTCCTAGCCACTCTTCTACAGAGTTACAATATTTATGCTTCTATTTTTCATCTTCCTGTATGCTTCATGGAACCTCTTTTAGCCATCTTTTCCTCTTTTGTAAAGTGTGACTTTAAGGTCACACAGTACTGGTATCTCCATGGGCCCAGCAGTGGACTTTTAACCCCACATTGTAATCCCTTCATCCTTGTGATATGAGGCTTGTGTCAAGGGATAGAAGAATAAAACAGCTAGAGCTACCACCTAGCCAGGCCAGCAGCAGGCTGTGCCGCCAGTTGAGGGCACCCTCCCTGAGACTTAAAAATAGGATGTGGGGCTTAGTGCAAGATAATTAGGTCTTTGCTAACTAAGAAAGAGAAGGACCTGTACAATGAAAACTACATTGCTCTGAAAAATGAAACTGAGGGGTCGGGTATTTAGCTCAGTGACACTATGCCTGCCTTGCTAATGCAAGGTCCTGAGTTTGATCCCCAGTACCCCCCCAAAAAAAAAGAAAAGAGAAGAAATTGAGGAGAATATCAGAAAAATGAAAAGACAGCATTCTTTGATAGGCAGAATCAATATAATCAAAGTGGCTATACTTCCAAAACTGATATATAGATTTAATGCAATCCCAATCAGAATACTAATAGCATTTCTCACAGAGCTAGAAAAATAATTCTAAAATTCATATTGAACCAGAAGACCCAAAATAGCAAAAGCAGTCCTGGATAACAAAAGCAAAGCAGCAGGCATAACAACCCCAGATTTGAAGTTATACTGCAGAGCTACTGTGATTAAAACAGCATGGTACTGGCACAAAAACAAGCACATGAATCAATGGAACAGAACAGAGGAAGAAAAAACAACTCCAGATGCATAAAACTATTTGATCTTTGGCAAAGGGGTCATACATAAACACTGGTGGGCTGGGGATTTAGTTCAGTGGTTCTGCCGCCTGCCTCACAAGCACAAGGTCCTGAGTTCAATCCCTAGTACCAAAACACACACACACACACACACACACACACACACACACACGCATGCACTGGAGGAAAGATAGCCTCTATAATAAATGGTGCTGGGAAAATTAGATATCCACATGCAAAAGACTGACTCTAGACTCATGTGCTAAGCTAAAACCAAAATGAATCAAAGATCTAAATGTTAAAACAGAAACATTTAAATCTGCTGGAAGATAAAATAGATAAAACTCTTGAAGACACAGGTTTAGGCAAGGACTTTCTGAACAGAATCCCAGTGGCATAAAAAATAATACTGAGAATCAACAAATGGGATCACATTAAATTTAAAAGCTTCTGCGTATCAAAGGAAATAACCAACAGAGTGAAGAGACAACCTACAGATCAGGAAAAAGATTTACTAGCTACTCCTCAGAGGACTAACATCTAGAATATATAAAGAACTAAAATAAATATACATCCTCAAATAACCAAGTCAAAAATGGGCAACTTAAATGAATAGACATTTCTCAGAAGTAAAAATGGCAATGAATACACACAAAAAAGTTCAATATCACTGGCTATTAGAAAAATACAAATTAAAACTTCATTGAGATAGCATCTTACCCCAGAAAGAATGGCTATCATCAAAAAATCAAATAATAACAAATTCTGGTGAGGATGTGGGGGAAAACAAATTCTTCCACACTATTGGTATGAATCTAGTTATAATCAGTGTGGAGATTCCTCAAAAAAGTAAAAATAGAAATTCCATTTGACGCAGCTCTTCCCCTTGTAGGTATCTTCCCAAAAGACTTAACATCATTTTATTACAGTGATACATACACACTCATGTTTATAGCAGCACAATTTATAAGAGATTTTGGGAACAGTGTATATTCCATCAATGATGAATAGATAAAGAAAATGTGGTATTTATACAAAATGGAGTACTACTCTACCATAAAGAAGGATAACCTCAGGGCATTTATAGGAAAATGCAACTTTAGAACATAATGTTAAGTGAAATAAGTCAGACACATATTAACCTTAAATAGTACATGGTTTCTCTTATATGAGAAAAAATATACAGAGAAAGAGATGCATGCTGGGGATTTAGCTCAGTGGTTCCAGCCACTGCTTCACAAGCGCAAGGACCTGAGTTCAATCCCCAGTACTAAAAAAAAAAGAGAGAGATGCAGAGACAGAGAGAAAGAGAGAGAACAAAATAGAAGGTAGAAAAATAGGAAAGAGGGAGAAGTTTAAATAATTCCCAAAATTATTCCATTGTTTCAAAAATATTTTTATATGCACTATTTTGTTTCATTTATACTACTGGTTTCTCCTAGTTCATTGTAGGGAAAATTCTGTGCTTTTATGTTTATTTCTTAGAGAGAGTCTTTTTTGTCTATGACTTGTGCTCTGAGAATAAAACAGATAACTGAAAAAATATAATTAGGTCTTTAGAGGGGATTAATGTAGATGTCTGTGAACTCTCTCTCTCACCAGCAAACTTTTTTCTCCATACCAACCAGGGGCCATTTCTGTTGCTTCCTACCAAAGGAAACCTGTATGTACCACCAGTCTGGTATTCAACGGTATCTTTAATATCTAAGGGCTTTTATCGCATGTCTAGTATAAGACTGATGCCGATAAGTTCTCTTCAATAGTAAAGACAAAGCAGTCGCTGAAAAACGGTGTTGCAGTCGAGTGGGCTTGAGTTTCATTTTGATTGATGTCCATAGAGTTGGGTTTTTGGGTGTTTTTTTTTTTTTTTAGTAAAAATGCATTATAAAAAATTTTGTACATGGAAAACGATATGTTTAAGGCATGGAATAACAACATGCCATAGTCTGGTTATGGTG